CCTTGTTAAGTAGGGTTACTCCCGGTCACTGGTTCAATAATGCACTATGTGGGCGTAAGGCAAATTGTAGACTACTTAACTTTGGTAAAGCATAGAAGTGACGACTCTATAGGCTGAAGTGATCCCTCTATCCAAATTTGATAGGACCTAAAGGTCTATGTACCTACGCTGGCCTCCTCAAAAGGGTTGTGTAGAGTCTATTCCTAGATAGAAACCTCTGGGGTTGGTGCAAGTTAATAGTTGCTTCATATGAAAAATTATATTGAGACTTTAGATAGTCACCTCATAGCACACAGCTTAGGTTGTAATAATATACTATGATTCCATTACCTGCTAACGCACAAAAAAAAAAAAAAAAAAAAAAAAAATTTATTAGGAGAAACTCTTCTACCCAATACACAAAAATGACTAAAAAAATAAACAACGCAAAGAAACCTAACACTCACAGATGTTCAAGTTCACCTGTTACTAGTAAACCAACTCCACCTCCAGCGAAGAGACTACAACTCGATAACCAAGAATAACAACAACAACAATAACAATAACAATAACCAGAACTGTCCACCTCAACTTTAGAGAACTTTTGTACTCCAACCGATATGAAAGTAGAAAGCACTTCAACTTCTATTTCAACTGATAAAGGCAAAGCACCTGAAATTAATATTCCTCCGATCAATAAAGAACCTTTAGACTACAACCAGTCCTTTGAAGTTTCTGAAATTATGCTAGACAAAAGCAACGGAAACAATGCTCTTCACTTCGAATACAAAACTGGAGCTCCCATCTTTTTCGCCTTCTGCGCAGCAGATATTTTTCTCCCCAACAAACCGAATAAAAAAAATGCAACGCTGTTTGTGATTTGTTCAACGGACCACAATTTTCTTGTTTCACTGGTGCTACAATCAGAAACCACTCGCAGGAAGCAACAAAGAAAATTATCCATATTAGTTTTACTACATGCGATAACTTTGAACGTGCTATTAAGATCCCTATTCCTAATATAGATAATACCATGTTTCTACTATTAGATGTTATACTACTAATAAGATTTACCCCTGAAATGTCCATCAAAATTACCGAGATCCCGATCACCATAACGGAATCTAACATCAGGTCATCATTTGCCTTTTTTGGTACCATCGCGCGTTGTATCATGATCACCAAAAATTTGTGGCAACAAGCCATAATTACTTTTGTCACAGACATTGATATGTCTCAATTTATTGATTACCATGGATTTTTTGTTCTCAAAGATATGGTCTGTATACATCTATGTTCTCTTTCCAATGAAGAGGTTCACTTCAAATCAAAATTTTCCTTAAAACTCACCAACCTCCCAGTTGATACTAACGGACGACAACTTAAAGAAATTAGTCACACTGTTCATACTATGGCATGGATCATTCCTAAATCCAAAGTGTCTTATAGAAACCTTCAATATACAGTCATGTACTTTTCGGACCAGGAGACCCTTGACTTGGCTAAAGAAGGAGATTCCATTTATCTTGATAGAAAAAGACTTACCTGAACAGATCCCAGCCAAAAATTGTGTTTTATTTGCTCAGCCTCAGATCACATGTCTCACAATTGTAAATGCAAATGTATACCCCTAAAAGATCGACAACTTTAAAATCTTTACCAACGTTATCATCCCGCTCAATTCAAAAATTACTCAGCTCCTCTAATTAAACCAAAACCTATTCTGAAACCTTCCACTAATAACCTAATAACAGTAACAAAGGTGGATTTATACAATATAATACACCTGGTCCAAATAGTTCTTCTTTTGCACATATTGTCCAATTAACTGATGATGATTTTACCGAACCACCACCAATCCCAAAAAATAAACCTTCATCCAAAGAAGTTCCTAATTATAACACCTCTAATAATAAGGGATACTCTAAGATGACAGTATTCATGCGTCTGGATCTTGGGCTGATGAGACTGAAAAAGACATCATTCATCAACAGAACAAATACCAACCATTTCAACTTGACGCCATCCTAACACAAATCAATAATGTTTCTCAACAGCTTGCTGATATCCATCATAATCTTGCTTTTACTCTTACTAGAGTTAGTATGATTGAAGCTGTACTTAATATCTCTTCTATCTGACCTGAACAAGCAAAGATCATCAACTCTAATCCACTTAAAGACCCAATTAATGAGATAGACGAGAATATTGATCAGAATGACGTTGTTATTGCTGGAATAGACACCTCAAAATCCACTATCCGTCGACAGGAAGCCCAGGTTACTGAGCTCCAATTAGAAAACTCTATTCTCAAACAAAACTTAAGTGCTAACTTCGACAAACTCAATAAAGCCCTTGCTACAGTAGCTCAAATGCAAAGAATGCTCGTCCACCGTGAGATGATACCCTAAGATAGATTGATTCCTATTATAGAACTTGTGAAACTGGCATTGTCTTCTTTCTATGATGACAAAAATTATGAAGGTCTACCACCACCAAAATAACTTTAATTAATGATTAATACAACTGATACGAATCAAATTATAAATAGGTATCCACCTGTAGAAGATATTAATAGTTATCATATTTTAAAAACAGCTACTCACAATGTTCGTTCTTTCACCTAACAATGTAAACAACAAATTTTAGTCCAACTTTATTTTCTCCACCATTTATATATTATAGGTATTCAAGAAACTGATCTCATTACAACCTCCAACAAATCTTTGTCCAATATTCTTGATCCTAATTATAAGATTTTTCTCAACCATAAACAAAACATACAAAAACCTGGCTTTGGTGGTTTAGGACGATATATTTATATTGATCTTCAATTTCATAACAAATATCGACTTCGCATCATTAATTGTTATATTTCTAGCTCTAATTCTACCCTTCGTAATAATACTTTCGACACTGTTACCAAACTCCTCAACCAAGCACGATTGAATAATATAGACATTATACTCTTAGGTGACTTCAACGCAGTACCAAATCGAGCTATTAATCCATCTAACTCTAACAGATTTTTTGATCAATTGGATAATGCTAATATTTTTAACACATGTGATCTTCTACATGAGCATGCTAATTCAGACTTCCCACTTTTTATAATAATATATGTCTTACTTCTTCAAGAATTGATCAAATTTTCTGTTCGACAGGTCTAACAACTGATCTACAAGAGCAACTACAATCGATATAGACTATAACCTATTTGACCATGCAATAGCTACAACTTCCTTTTTATCCCAGAAATTGTATTCTTGACATCCAGGACCCCTGTTAAAAAGGTCTCCTTTCAATATAACAATATGTCGAATGATGATTGGTCAGCTTTTCCTCACAAAACTGATACTCTTCTTACCTCATGTCAACTGGCTACCATGGAAAAGTATAAGTTAAAATCTAAACAAGCTTTGAATTTCTATTGGGATTTGATCCAAGGATGTATTATAAAAGCTGCTGAAAAAATTATTCTAATTCACCGTTCATCACAGCACTTACGTGACCTCAGACCTAAATCCTTAAAGAAAGTCTATCGACAAATAAGAATAGCTCAAAAACTTGAAAAACTTTCTAAGAAAGCATTTATATCCAATCGCATTCCTACGCAATGGTCCAAAAGTTATGACAAAACAGTTAAAATTGCAGTTGCCTTAAAATTTGTTTTTCCGCCTATCATTGTGCAAACACACTTAGCCATTCATGCAATTATTCCTACTATTAGAGCCCTTATTTTCACTCTAACTGTGATAGCCAGAGTAGAAGAAGAAGAACATAAATCTAAATCTACAGACCCTGCCAAAAGTCTCCGCACGATTTTTGGCTTAATTTAAAACTTAAAATTTTTAATTTTTATTAAAAAAAATTATTAATA